TAAGAGCAATAACCACACCTGCACCTGAACACGGTACCCCAGGAGTGTTCACAGTGGGTCTGGAGTCTCTGCTATAATCACACCTGCACCTGAACACAGTACCCCAGCTGTGTTAAGCACCATGATCCCGACATGCACAGAGCTCATGTCACCCTACCTATCCCGGAGTCCTGTGGGACAGCACACTGTCCACGCTCGGACCCCGAACACAGCCGGCTGCGTCAGGCCCGTGTTCGGCCGTTGCAGCCCGTCCCGGAGCCCGGCGACTCGGCCGGCGCTGCGGTGCCGCTGGGAGAGCAGCCGAACCGGGTCCGACACCGAACACAGCCGCTCGCGGACAATGAGGACGGCGGGGCGAGGGACGCGACATCGTGCGCGACACGGCTGGAGCAGCGCACAGCCCCGGCCCCACTCACCCTCCGCCTGCGGGGCTCCGAGCGCTCTCTCCGGGTTGAAGTACGACATCGCGGCCGCCAGCACGGTCACCCAGCGCCGTCCGAGCATCTTCGGGGCGCCGACGACACCGTCATCCGAGCCCCCCCCGGCGGAGGGAAGCTCTCCGGCCGCGGCGTGTGTGTGTGTCTGCAGCCGCGGAGCCGCTCCTCCCCCCGCCTGCGCCTTGTTTTCCTCCAGCCGAGCACAATGGCCCCCGCAGCCTCCGCCGTCCGTCTCCCCCCGAGCGCAGCCTCGCTTTGTGTTTCCTCTCGCAGCCCCAGCAAAGCCGCTTCCCCGCACACGACCGCGATCACGCACACAGCCACGCACACGGGCGCGCACACACGCCGGCGCCGCGGCCGGTAAACAGCTCCTTGATCTTGTTATGGTTTTATTCTTCCCGCTGCGCCCGGCACCAGAGACGACAGAGACCCGCTGAACGGAACAGCTGCGGCGCTGAGAGCCGGGAGCAACTGGACACACAGACACCCAGACACACACAGACACCCAGAGACAGACACCCAGACACACACAGAGAGACACCCAGACACACACAGAGAGACACCCAGACACACACACAGAGAGACACCCAGAGACACACACCCAGACACACACACACAGAGACACCCAGAGACACACACCCAGACACACACACACAGAGACACCCAGAGACACACACAGAAAGACACCCAGAGACATAGAGACACACACACAGAAAGACATAAAGATATCCAGCCACACACAGAGAGACACCCGGAGACACAGACAGACAGACAGACAGACAGACAGACAGACAGACAGACAGACAGACAGACAGACAGACAGACAGACAGACAGAACAGGACAGTGTGAGCACAGTGGACAAGCCCACAGACACACACAGGGACAGAGCAGGACAGTGTGAGCACAGGGGACAAGCCCACAGACACACCTGGGGTGCTGTCTGTGTGGAGTCTGCATGTTCTCCCCGTGTTCACACAGGTATCCTCTGGGTGCTCCAGTCCCCTCCCACAGTCTGAAGACAGACCGGTGGGTCAAAGTGGGAAAACTGGCCGTGGTGCGCGTGTATGCATGCGTCTCAGAAGTTCTTCTGCCCTCACCCGTTTACAACATTACCTGAGACCTCCATGGCTGGTCGAACCCTTAACCGCTGTGAGCCCGCAAGCAGCCCGGTCTCAAACCCTGGCGAGTCCAGATTTCCCACGAACAGCACACAGCTCCATTGCCAACAGCCCTTTCTCCTTTATTGTTGACACATTTACAGAGGCTGCTCTGAGGTTCATCTTTGTGTTTGTTAAAAGAAATAATGGATCAACAACCTTTTTTTCTATTATTTTCAATAATTATATTAAAAATCCCTATTTTTACAATCAGAAACAGTCAATCACAGCACTGTGGACCCCCAGCTCAGCTCACTGACGGCACTGCGGACCCCCAGCTCAGCTCTCCGACGGCACTGCGGACCCCCAGCTCAGCTCTCCCAGGAGACCCCTGCCCAGCCACAGGAGGGCACTGTTGTGCAGTGAGCTGCCAGTGACGAGAGAGTCCTGCTCCCAGTGATGTCTGGACTGTGGACGCAGTGGGCTCCTCTCCCACAGGCCAGCCGTGGATCCGGGCTGCGGAGGGGCTCAGCACCCGCGGGTCAGCTGAAGTCGGGGGGGCTGGGGTACCCGCTGAACTGCGGCTCCGCCTGGAGAGGGAGAGGGAGAGACGGTCAGGGACAGGACGCTGGCGGAGAGAGGGAGAGGGAGGGACAGTCAGGGACAGGACGCTGGCGGGGAGAGGGAGAGAGAGAGAG